GGGGGGGGAGGGGGGCGGCCGGAGGCTTTTTTGCCTGGGGCGGCAAAAAAGCCAGAGCCGGCCCTGGGCAGGACAGAGCAGTCCTTGGCTGCATAATGGTCCAAGGTAACTTAGCTGTATGCAGTGTTGTTGTAGCTGTGTCAGCCCTAGGATATTAGAGAGAAGGTGAGTGAGGTAATATCTTTTATTGTAGCAACTTCTGTCTCGCTCACCAACAGAAGTTGGTCCAATAAAAGATATTGCATCTCCCACCTTGTCACTCAAGGTAACTTGTAGCCAGTTTATCCCATGATGAGCCTCAGAGATGGGAAAAGCAGGAAGATCCCTTAAAGCCCCTTTTGCCTCCCCTCTTCTCTATCAGCTGCATTGAACATAGGCTAGATGCAGCTGAGGATCGCTCTCTACAGGTGTGGTTGAACATGAACTCCCCCAAGAAATTTAGGAGTTGAAGATGACGAGAGGTTCATTTTTCTTAGCTATGAAACAAGTTTTCCATTTGACCTATGACCTTGATGTCACAATATTGTGGAAATTCTTAACACACTTGTTCCCACTCACACAATGTAGCCAAGCAGTTTTCACACACATCCATCATATGCCTGATGAGCAAAAAACATTAATCACTATAATCCAACTGAATAGTAAAATGAAGGCTGATTTAAATGTACTGTGCAAAACACAATGAAAGGCTATTCAGGATAATAGCCTTTCCACCCTCAGAAGATTGCTCCCTTGTTGACAGTGAATATGTTCATAACAGTTTTGAAGACAGGCAAGAGCTATTTAAGCACGAGCTAGTTAACGTTGTGTATACAGTTTGACAGATGCTTATGGTCATGATCACTATCACTGCTAGTAGTCTCTTGCAAACTCTTGATCCACCAGTTGTAAATTCTTTAGACATGACTAGGTGTTAAATCCAGCAGTTCAATTCTGAGAGTTGTAAAATACACAAAAAGACCGTGAAAGTAACTGGGGTACAGCCTAAGCTGTGATTGTTCTTAGTCCACTGGTTTAAGATCAGACTTATTTTATCACTGCAGAGCTCAGCACTGTGGTGCAATTAACAGTCTGATGACATTTGTGCTCAGTAACTTATGAGTCTGATTCTGATCTTATTGATACTGGTTCTACACCACTCTAACTCTACTGATTTCAATGGAGTTGCTCCAGATTCACGTCGGTGTACGTGAATTTTTCAAGGCTTAATTCTATAACCTCTGTACCTCTGATATTATTCACTGATAATGAAATAACAAACATTCAGCTTTACAATCACAGTGTTTAGAGAAAAAAAAAAGAGAATTACCTCTCAGAACTCCTCATACTTCTTTGCAGTAACCCTGACTCATACTTCTTTTCATATCAAAACAAGGACATTTGGAGCCAGGCAAATGGTAGTTTATGTGTACAGAAAAATTATCTAAGTTTTCTAAGAATAGAAATTAGGACTGACTATATAAATAAATTATGCCTTCTTGTAATGCCAAATGTCAGTATTCTATATTGAATAGAAAAAACAATCATTTCTCTGCACTGATATAAGTTTGATATTCATCACCACGGGATTTATAGATTGAAATAAAATATATCCATTATGTAGTCAAAAGTGCATGCCGACTAGCTGAACAAAGTCTTGAGAACAAGAAAAGGAGGATAAAAGCTACACAAATGAATTGTGAGTGTCTATATATGAAAGGGAAAAGATTTTGTTAAAAAATCAATTGAACAAATTAGACAGATCTGTGAATAAATTTGTAAGATCTTTTGTGAAATTCAGGTTAAAGGAAACTGGAAATTTTTGCCTGGTGCTAGCACATACAACATCTCCTTTCTGAATCTGGTTCATGTATTACTATATCAAACACATAAACTTCATAACATGCTGAAATTGTCTCTTAATATAGCAATAATCGTTACTGTTATCATTCATAACATCTATGGAAAATAATTAAACATTACTGTTCTTTTGTTATAAAGTTCTCTATTGCCATTAAAAAGAGATTTGAGGGTCTGATGTAATTTAGTAAATTACAACGTAGTTAACATTTTTCTGCAGTGATGTAGACAGTAGTTAAGCATACTTACAGAGCATTGTACTAAATTACTTATTCCATGCAGTATTTGGAGAAACTCATCAAAGCCAGCTGCTAGCAGCTTTGTTCCAATTTCATTATTGCTTTGCAGGCTGATGTTCCTCAGGGAGTGATACGGGTGCAAGCGCCTCATCTTTCGAAAGTTTCCATGGCAATACAGCTGACGGAAGAACTAAAAGCCAGTGATATAGTAGCCAGGTTTCTCAGCCAGAAGAGGTACAAATCCCTTTTTGTTTTACTAAGCTTTCGGAATAAGTGGCTTTTAGTATTTCATATCACGAAAAAAGTTTTAAAATAGTTTGACAAAAGAGCAGATATGGTTAACAATTAAAGTGAGTTCAGTGACCACTTGAGCTGAATTTAGCCTGTTCAAATAAACGTTTGATGAACTAACGATTTGGATTGTTCCAAGAAGCACTTCTAACGCTCCTTACAGCCTAAACCCTTACATATTGAGGCCTTCAGGAATATGCCAAAGTGCAGTATGTTGGTAGAGAATTAATTGCTGTTTTGTCAGCTGGGTTAGGAATGGCATCCATGGAACACAGTAAGTTTTTATATCTTCCTGTGGAGAATATAGCGGGGAACTCTAAGAAAAGAAGAGAAAAAGAAATGGGGAAATGAGAAGATAAACCCTTCAGGAAAAAAACATTAATTCATATCTAAATATATGTACATCTATGAGAGAGAGATACACACAAATGTAAATCAGTATCTATATTTGGGCCTAATCCAATTTCCACTGACGTCATTGGAAACATAGGTGGACTTTAACATCATTAACTTAGGTGGACTTTGGATCCTACTGTGTTTGTGTGTGTGAGAGTGTGAGGGAGGTAATGCAAAATAACTTTTCAGTTTCTACATCATTTATATAGTTATTAATGGTGATGTAGTAGCATTCCATTCTTCTTAAGATTAAGAATTTATTCTTATCCAAATTGTTTTTTTTAAAGGGGCTTATGATTTTGGCAAAAAATGCCTTTCAGCTGCAAGTTGGCACATCTCATCGCAATCAGATGAGGATTTTATTGGTTTCACCACCAGTTTTGGAAAGAATTATGGTTTGCCCCCCTTTTAGTTACAGAAAAATAAAAAGGAAAATAAGAGCATGATTATGCCTTCCCCTACACATTTGTGCTGCTATATCAGAGATATGAAATGTATGACGGGAGAACTCATTTTTGCAGCAACAGTAAAAAAAAAAAAAAAAAATTCGGAGCAGAGCCAAAGATCACAAAGTCAGGCTGCCACCAACTATCAATAAAAAGATTAATCTTTTCTAAAAGTCTCAATTCCTTCAAGTCTGATTTATTTTTCTTCTTTATAATTTACTATGCAGGATTACTCTTGTTTGCATTATCATACTGGTGTGATAGTCTTTTTCCTTTCTGTGTGTGCACAGATGGGTAAAATAGAAATGGAGAGAGAATTTCGATGCATTGTCAGTTTCCTTAACTACCATTGCATTTCCCAGGCACATTTAAGTGGTTTGATTGCAAGCTATTTGGTGGGATAGCTAATCATTTTGTTTTGTTCCTAACAGTGGAGTTGTCCAAGCTCTCAAGAAAGAAGAGGTATTTTTATATGAAATTGGAGGAAATATTGGTAAGGATGATTTCTCAACAGATTCCCTTGCTGAAATGAGATTGCTTGGGCCTAACTTTGCCCTCAGTTACATCCACATGACCCCTATTGACTTCGCTGTGGGTGCATGTAGGTGTGAATGAGGCAAAAGTTTGGCTCATAAAGTTTAGAATTAATTATGGGCTTGATTCATTCATTCCATGGGTTCACCAGTAGCTCCCCAGACCCCAGTAGCTGCATGTTCATGCAGAGCCACCTGGCACAGCTTAAAAGGTGGGCAGTGCTGGAAGGAAAGGGAGTAGGGGCCAGAATATTCACATCCAGAGGTTTCGCTGATTCAACACAGGCACCCTCTGCTGGCTTGGGTTCTATGGAACCCGGTCTAGGCTCCCACATGCAAAAATGTCTGGGGAAAGTTCTTTTGTGCCTCAGGGTTGCATGGGCAAGGGTGCACATCGTATCACTGTCCTCCTTCGCAGATGAATCAAGCCCAAAGTGGATTGTAAGAGGTGGGTTAAAAGCATGTAATAATCTATATCATGGATATCTGCTAAGTCGGCATTCCTATTAGTATTTATTTGTGATTATTTGCATTTCTAAAGTGTCCATCATTCATTATATGAATGTTTTTACCCACAAGTTTATATACAAGGCATGCTCCAACCAGAAACTCTCTGTCCGTTCTTCCTTTTTCATAACTTCCTACTTGAAGGGCCCGACTCTCAGTTCCCCCCCCACATGCCACATATACACCTCTACCCCAGTATAACGCAACCCGATATAACACAAATTCGGATATAACGTGGTAAAGCAGTGCTCCGGGGGGGGCGGGGCTGCGCACTCCGGTGGATCAAAGCAAGTTCGATATAACGCGGTTTCACCTATAACGCGGTAAGATTTTTTGGCTCCCGAGGACAGCGTTATATCGGGGTAGAGGTGTATTAGCATTACAGACACGAAGAAGTGAAGTCTGTAACTCACCCTAACGATGACCTCTGTCCGAGCCACAGCAGAAGCAGATTCCATCATTTTATGCCATCTAAAAAGAACATTCTGTCCCAGCCCCTACAAGTTGTATCCTGGGCAGAAGACGGCAGCTTCCATGCCAGTGTGAGGTGAAAGTGGTGGTCACTGAAGTAATGTGCTCACATCATTCAGGCCTTTGTAGATGAGGGCCAGAACCTGGAATTGGACCCAGAGCAGCACAGGCAACCAGGGCAAAGTTGGTCTGTCCTGTTCAGCAGTTAGGCTGCTAAATACCATACAAACTGTAATAACTGGGCAGCCTTCCTGGTATTTACCAGGTGTACCTTATAAGGGTAGTCCAGTCTGAAGGTGATGAAAGCATGGTTCTCTTCTGGCAGGACAGCTTACTACCAATTCCTGCCCAGTCATAGAGAAGAAAAGGTGGTTTTGAACATTGTTGCTATCTGGGTGTCTAGCAACAGAGAAGAGTCCAAAAGCTTTGAGTGTGGAGAAGAGATGAGATCATGGTCACAGGCTTTCGCGTTTCTCTGAAGTGCTGTCTCCTGCCAACTGGCATCACTTCTGTTTTGCCTGGGATGAGCCTGAACCAGCTGCTTTTTAATCTATGGCCCTAGTTTATTCCGATAAGGCATCAGGGAGACCTTAGTGAGAAGGAAGCACAGAGCTGGTGTCATCAGCATGTAGGTGGCACCGTAGCCCATAGCATCTTATAATCTCCCCATAAGGAGAGCGACATTGTCATAGCTTCTCCTAATGAGTTATTTTTAAAAAGGAGAAATATTTAAGCGCACTGAACAATAAAACTGTCTTTATCTTCATGCTTACTGTTTGAGCTTCCCTTACAACCTCCACTCCTGTGTTCCACATCAAACACAGGGGAAGTCACTGTCAATGAGAGAGATTCCCTGGCCTTCCTGTGATGCAAGTTTCCCAGCTCTGAATAACAGGCTATTATAACAAGAGAGTGGCTTAGTATAATTAATGCCAGAACACCATTTTGAATGCAGTGCTAGAATTTTTCTTTAATGAATGAAAAAGTGTTTCTTTCTAAAGTCTACACTGAGAATCACTCCCTAACCACAAATTTTTAACAGGCTGAGCAAATTAAAAAATCATTCATGAACTAGACAACATGAACTAGATTTACTTTGTTTTTTCTATTAACTGTGGCCTGTTAAGTTTACCAAAATTTATATCTTTAAGCAAAAACTTAATGCTTTTGTACTCTCTGCAGATGCTAACCTATTTTTTCTCTACCATGTTACTGCTTTTAAAATAGTTTAAACATTTATATCAAAACCAAAAATCATTACAATATCAGCTTTTATTATAGGCACATATTACAATATGTTATAGAGATGCTTCAGTTTTTCTAATACAGCATTTTAAGGGCAACTAGTCACAAATGTTTTTATTCTGCGCCTAATGCCTGATAAAAAAAAATAGTATTCATTTATATCAAATGACTGCACAGGTTCTCCATGTCTGTCTGCACAGATTCTCTGTCAAGTAAGACTGTCTTCTCAGTTCCATAAGGCTGTTTTTAGGAGAGGAGCATTTGTTTACTTTACAGCAATATTAATATTATAGAAAAAGAGCTTGTAATTGACTTCAGTGGAAATGAGACCTATATGGAACTACATGTCAGGTATATTGTGATAGTATATAATGTATGTATATAAATAACACTGGGTTGCTTTGCATGTATGTGTGTAATGATATAATCTGAATACACATATTTTGTAATACTGGGAAGAGCTGTGGGAGTAGGGCTGTGTGTGTATGAGAGAGAAATTTTTACTGCTAATTTATATCTGGTTGCTTATTTTGTAATGAAGAAACTGGTTTATTGAGTAGTCTCTCTACTTGAAATGTAGTTACTCTATGTGCCTGTTAAAGGGAAGATGTGGCAAGCTGGAGATTTTCTGCAAGCTTGTTATGGCATATAGTGGAATGCTGGAAGCCTCCTGAGTAATCCTCCCCTTTACTAATAAACCTTTGTGATAATTGCGTTTTATCACTCCCTATGTTTTCTACTTCTAATTACTGTAGCAGTTACTATGGGGTTGGTGAAGAGAAGTTTCCTGACTTTAAGCTATTGGGCAGGCAGACAGGCTGACTCTCTTTTCATTTGTTGTGTCCTGGCTCTTCTTCTCTTGGCTGTCATTTTCTTCATGACATAGCAAACTCATGCAGAGATTGCACAAAAGAGGAAAGAACCAACAGCTCACTATAAAATGCAGCAACATGACCAATATATTTAATTATTCATTGTTGCTGCTGAGTCTTTCCTCCCTCATGTATATTCTATGCAGGGCTGGTAGCATCAGCAGGTTGCCTGACACTACCCATTACAAGACCCTGTTTTCAGTTGCTTATAACTTTGCAAAAATTTAAAAGTTCAGGCTGAAATGTTCCATGCTGTGTGTCTGCCTCAGGCTGATTTTTTGGGGGCGAGGGGGGATGGGGGGGAGGCAGAGAGAGGGAGGAGAAATTTCATCCTAAATGGATAGGCTATTTCTGATAACAAAGTTAGAGAAAACTGCCTACGTTAACCTTTTCTGTGAGAAGCTCTTGTGCCTTCATGTTTGAAGCGGGGATTTGAAGTTTGGCAAGAGGGCAGCCTTCGTGTTAGGTACGCAGTCATGAAATTAACGACTGTATCATAATGCATGTGCACAGGGGGGCTGAATTAAAGTTGCTCATGCAACCTTAATTCTGGCATTTCCTAACTTTTGAATGCTTGACTTTGCAACCTTAATAATAATATTTCAGCATAGTTTGCGTATGTAATACGTGTATATATATCAGATAATTCCTTGAAGAACTTGGGAACATAGAAGACTACAACCCAAACAAGGCGACATATTCATGGTTCTACCTTTACTAATATTGACTTTCTGCCTTTCTAATCATTGCAATACTCTTATGTTCATTTATGCTTAAATTATTATTTTCGTAACAGCTACTAGACACTAGACTAGGATAAAATATCAGCAGAAGTTAAACTGCTTTTCTTTCCATGATTTGACCTATCACAACACAGCTGTGCACATTGGATACAAAGGAACTGTTAACAACAAGATCAAGACTGGTAAGAGCTGGGAGTGGTAAGGTGCACCGCTTTCTTGGTCAGAGGCCCCACCTCTTGAACTCCCCTCCAAAGGAATTGAAAATGACCATAAATACAACAACCTTCAGATATAACAACCTTCAGACCTTTACATCCTCAGCTGGTGTAAATCAGCATAGATCCACTGAAGTCAATGGAATACCTCAATTTACATTATCTGAAGGATGTAACCTAATTATGGACAAGATAATTAAAGGTTTCAGAGTAGCAGCCGTGTTAGTCCGTATCCGCAAAAATAACAGGAGTACTTGTGGCACCTTAGAGACTAACAAATTTATTAGATTAATAAATTTGTTAGTCTCTAAGGTGCCACAAGTACTCCTGTTATTTTTGAAGATAATTAAAGAATCCCACTAAGTACAGCCCCCTCGAGTCAGGAGAGAAAAATAAGAGAGCAAATAACAAATTCTTGATATCACTTTTCCTCCGCTTTGTTAGATACCATGGTGATGGGCTCAGTATAAAAACCTAAATAGATTGGAATAGTTCTATGAATGTTGAAAGTAAATTCCCTTTTTTAGGTGTACTAAATCTAATCACACATCTTTTTTTATCAGGAGAACGCTGCCTTGATGATGATACCTACATGAAGGACCTGTACCAACTCAACCCAAATGCTGAGTGGGTTATAAAGTGCAAGCATAGTTAAACTCATAACAAATTACAAAAGAAAAATCTGTGGACTGGACTTCGTAATACTGTGTATTCTAAAAGGACAGAATGTTGTTTTATCATTCAAATGCATTGTACTATTAAAGGAATATTGTCAAGCTTATTAAAACACTTACAAGCGGTTTCCACTAACTTGGCAACATTTACCACAGTCACCACGCAGCAATATCTGAGATTCTAGCTTTCCCCGCCACGCATATTTAGACTCAGGAGTGATTTCATGGTATCTGAAGTTAAATGTTGACTTTTCAGTGACAACCATTGTACCTTGATAATGGTCCCATCTGGAAGGTCTTATGTTCATATCTATAATCTTTTTGCACTAGAGAGATCTATATTGTCTTTCTTTATATATGTATTTTTTATAGCGCCTAGCACGGTGGGGAACCCAATCCTGACTGGGGCTTCTGAGTGCTACAGTAATATAAATATTAAATAAAAAGTATGATTCCAGAGACATAAAGTTTCCTGTCACTGTGAGATTCAAAGGAGACAAACTGTAATGTAATATATCCTGTCTCTGTCTTAATAAGTGTGCCCCAACTTTTTTCTCCTGGGGTACATTTTGATGAAAATTGGCTGATAGCGACTTTTTTTGTGAAAACTTCTATTTCTGCCCAGCATTCCTGCTAGACAAACTAAGTTGCACACCCTTTTATATTATGGGTCTGGTGATTTGATTGTATTCTTGATGGTAAAGAATTTTTAAATGGGACCACATGTCAAGGTCCATTTGAAAGCCTACAACCCTTAGTAGTGTTCTTTCTAATATTGGAATGTTCGTATCCAATGTAGAGGCACTGAGTTGTTTTATGGTGCCATACAGGGACATTGTGTACCCTACTTGGATTTTCTTAGACCATCTGACAGATTTCAAAACATTTTGTGAACTGCCAAAAACTGCCAATTACTTATGAATTGCAGAACACAAACATTCAGGATAAATAAAGCAACTGTGGTGAGTAACTGTGGTCTGAAATTCACATTTAGCAAACTATCAAAACCCCCAGACAACATGTCTTCATTGCAGAGTTAACCGAGGCTCTTACTTGGTGTTGCCGCTAAACTGGCTCCTGACCACACACAAAAACCTCTTACCTAACTATAGTGGTGCTTTATACCTGGGCTAGCTGGCCCATCCTGGGGTATAGGCTAAAGCCCAAGTTCTGCTTTCACTTGGGCTGGTAACCTGCCCATTTTGCAATGAGGACGAAGGCTAAACCACTAGAGAGCTGATAGTCTATCAGTGCTTTCCCACAATTCCCCCCATGTCCCCAGAAGGACAAATTAGTCCCAAAAGTCACTGGGTGAAGAAACATGGGATATGCCCCTTAGCGCCACACATACACATGAGTGCAGCACCAATGGAGACCCAGTAACTCGAGTGTGGCTACTCACCTGAGCTAGATTAATGCCGGTGCCACTTGGTTGATCTAACTCTGCAGCGAAAACATACCCTTTGAACCAAATTTTCCCCTTGGACACACTTACATTGATCTCATTGAATCAAAGGGAGTCTTGCATACATGTCCAAGGGAAGAATCAGGCCTTTTGGACCTGATTCAAACCCAATGACATCAAAGGGAATCTTTTCAACGAGCTTTGGATCAGGCTCTCACACTGTATTATTCACAAGTGAACTTAAAATTACACTGTTAGAACTGTCTGTCGCATCAGCAACATAGAATATAACTGTAATAGGTTATAGAATGTGTTCTTTATAGAAAGAGTTTTGTGCACATCTGCTTGTTAGTTACTCCATTTAGGTAAGACACACAACATATGAACAATTTGTGTTTGTGTGTTTTTGGTATTTTTCTGTTTTTGTTTTTAATCAAAACAGCAGAGAATATTGCAATGGGGCAGGAAGAATTGTTCCCAGGGATTCTATAACACAAGTAGTCTTGTGGATAGAACAAAGACTATACTGTAAATACAAGGAAGGAAGGAAGGAAGAAACAAAAAAAAAAATGCTTGAGCAAATATTTATGAGTCTAGAATGTAATGAATCTAAGGCAATTTAGATGTGTAATACAACAAACTGTGTGTGTTCATAATATTTTATCTGTAGTTCTTTAAAAAACAGATTACATGTTACTGGAACTCTAGATGTTATTTTAATCAGGAACAAAGTGCTGATGAGAAGAACAGCTGTAAAATTTCACCCTGGTGGCTAGATAATTTAAATAACTTTGTTGCTGGTTTAGTGCCATTACCTTTTTTTTTATTTAAAAAGAATTTTTATAATTCAATGTTTTTTCTTAATTCTCTTATTTTAATTATTATGCCTATGAAATGTACACAAAAGCAATGCTGACTAGTTGTTGAACGAACTTTTTGTTTTGACTGCCTCACTTCATAATCCGTACGGGTAGTCTATAGCTTTATATATAAAAGAGATGTTTCAGATGAAAACTGGTTTACTTGGTATTTTTTCTTCTTATGAACACACTTAGTGTTTTACTATATTCCGTATTTCCTTATGTGTTACTTTTATGTGCCCTGTAATAGGCCACACAGCCTTGGAGGTTTGAATGCCCAATTGGACAACAGCCAGGGACCTCAGTTTAAACAGAAGATTATTTATTTATCAGGGTGCTCCATTTTAGTACTACATTGCAGTCTTGGTGTGGGTTTTGACCCACCAAACTACAATATATACTTACAGTGTATATATATAATGAAGCAGGCACCTTCAGCATTTCCTCTAAATACTATTCAAGACTTAATGGTAAAATACAGCCAGTGCATAAGTGAAGACCAAAGAGCATGGGAGTGAGCTCATAAAATCCCTTTGTAATGAAAAGACAGTATCGGCGTGATTGGTCAGCCAAAGTAATTTGGCAGTTGCCCTTCACTTGTCTGAATCTGGCGATGTACTGCAGTGCATCATCCAGATGATAGGTTACTTCATCTAACCCTGGCATAAAATAGGTGATATGAATGAAACTGAAAATCATGCAACCATCTTCCAGAAAGCACCACAGTGGGGGAGCGAGAGAACTGACCTACTTTTAGAAGATTTACCACACCAGAAGATATGAAGTTCATATTTGGCAATTGTAGCATTTATTTGCTGTAAACTAAATGGGTTGGAAAGAGGGAGAGGATGTTTGTTTTATGTTAGAGATGGGTCCAAACTGGAACTCCAAATCCAAACACCTCCACATTGTGTGGAGTTTTGAAATATGGTTCTGAATTTTGCAGGTTGAGCTCTTCTCTGCTTTAAATCCTTTGACGACGGAGAAATCTCATTTAGCCTCTTCAACCAAAGCTCATTCTGGTGCTTCCTAATGTAACCACACTCCAACAGTTTTTGAACAACGGTAAGAGATCTGGATATACTTTCCTTAACATTCACACCATTAGTGCAGAGCTAGTTGAACTGGTGTCAGGAGTAGGTTATAGACTAAAGCCTGGTGGAATTCATCAGGGCCTCATACTTCAAGGGTCCTCTTTGTATTCCAGAAGCCTATTGTTCAAACACTTCTGAATTGTTTTATCGAGCTACTTACCCCCTTCCCACAGATACACCACAATCTTTATGTTAAAAGTGTGTCTCAAAGAATGAGATATCTCTTTAAAACTCTCCAGAAACCTCAGGCCAGCTCAGCATATTAAAATTGCAGGTTTCAGCAGGAGAAAGGCTGGGGTCAGCTGCTGCTGAGAGAGAAGAGAAGTAGCCTGAGGGTGGGAGGGAGCTGTTGCTCTGCTGTGGGGGAGGGGGAGGGAGAGCTGGATGCTTTAGAAGAGACACTTCTTGCTGCCAAGCAGACCTCAGACATTAGCTACAACACCAGTTAGTCAGGGTGAGTTTTAAAAACCCGGGTGTGTCCCAGCTAAACCAGGACTGCTAGCCCCTATGGCTGTAGCCATCTCGCTATGGATCAATGTTTGCCTACTCAGCCAAATGACTAAATAACCACAAACAAGAGTGTGGGCTCCCAGGCGGAGAGGATAAAGCACACGACCAATGTGGTTGCAAGCTGAATCGAATCCTGTTTATTACAAGCTTTCTTTTATAGTCTTTCTCAACATTACATAACACAATTAGGCTATAATCACACATCTACGGATTGGATGAGAAGGAAAATCATGTGTTTATCACATGTATAGCCCCACACCGATTGGTTCAATCGTTCCTTACATAAGGCCATGATTTATTACCTTGTTTACCTTATCTTATATAATCCCTAGACCACCAGGGGGCCTTACATAAGGCCATGATTTATTACCTTGTTTACCTCATTTTATATAATCGCTAGACCACCAGGGGGCCTTACATAAGGCCATGATTTATTACCTTGTTTACCTCATTTTATATAATCCCTAGACCACCAGGGGGCGCCTTTGTCTTACAAGGCCATGAGCCATTGTCAGGCAAGTGTCCCATCGTGACCCTTACCTTCTTATGGAACTTTCCATTAGGTTGGCGTAAGGATGATACATCCCCACACAGGAGAAAGCCAGGTTCTCTAACCTCCTTCATACCCCCCACCCCAGCCCGCCTCAAACATCAGCCAGGATAGTCCAGCTCTCCTGCCCCATCCTCTAAACACACATACACACACCAGCCAGGGGAGACCTCTGCCAGGCAGGGGAGAGCCACCACCTCAAAACTCCATACCCCACTGATCTGCACCCCAGGGACAGAGGCTTCAGGCTGACCCACCTACCACAATGATAGCTGATGTGCAGAATAGATGGCAGGTAGGGCAACCATGTAGATGAGTTTCCATGAGGATGCTGGGAAACGTGGGTGGTGGGAGCGTGTGTGTGCAGGTGGAAGGGTTAATCACATAGCATGTGTGGAAAGCATGATATATTTTGGGAAGTTGGGAGAGGAGTGATAGAAACACCATGCAACTGATATAAGTATTTTACCCAGTGAATATCAAGTGTATTGGCTTCTGAGCTGGAAAATTTTAGGAAGCTGCTTGTTAAAATTTTGGCAGCATATAAATGGTTTTAAGATGACCATCTGATAAAGGAACAAAGCTGCTCGCAGAATACACCTCCAGCCTATCAAAAGTTAAAATGCAGTAGAAAACTATCCAGATAAAATAAAAGATGTGCTAAATGAATATATTTCCTTTGTGCCAAATCTAAATATATGTAAGCACCAGACCTCTATTATACCTCAATTTTTGGAATGAAGCAATCATTCAAAAGAATGGAGTTTGTATGCTTTTAATCTCCAGTAATATTTATAGTAAATATTTATACAGCATAGTGCTTAAATGATGCAAAACACTGGGCAAATTTGTACTCATAAAACCCCTCTAAAGCAGCTAAATTGGTATCATTCCCATTTTACAGCTGGGAAACTGTGTTTCAGTGACTTGCCCTAAGGCCAAAAGGGGAATTGCCATAGAAAGCAATTCAATAGGGCTCTCCAGCAATTGCTGTAAAAAAATCCAGTAGAATTTAATACGCTACTGCCAACCCCAAAAGTTCAAAACTCATGAGTCAGACACCCTCCTCCCCGCAAAATAATGAGATTTTGTTAAAGACTGTAGTGTGATTTTTGTGTGTGCCCTGTCTTCATTTTTGAACTCCTGCCCATCTGGCTGTGTGAGAGAGAGACAATTAGTGTTGCCAGCTCTCCTAAATTTATTGATTAAGGGGATTCCAGCCCGCACTGCAGGAACTCTTGCTGGCTACTTGATCACGTGGAGCTTCCAGCTGCTCACCAAACCCCAGAATTCTCATTAATTCTGTGTCCTTCCAACCCCATATCTGCCTGTCCCTCATCCCAGCTTTTAATTATGAACCTCACAGCCCCTCTCCCAACTCAGTTCTGTCCTTCCTAGCCCCACCTCTGCTCCCTGTGCAGCTCCTGAGGTCTTTTCATTGCCAGCATCTGAGGCTAGGGGGGATGGGCAGCTGCTGAAGCAGTCACTTCTCCCCCTTCCCAGGCTTGGGGCAGGCTGCAGCTCCAAATACTCTTCACACACCCTCCTGCTTCCCAGGTCTAGTTGTGGGGATGGGGAGAGATGCTAACCCTTTGTTAACATGAGAGCTGCCCTGCACTCTTTCTTCTCCCTTCCCTCCTGTGAGGGTGGCGGCGGCTTCTACCTCTGCCTCCTCTACCCCAAAAAATCTTCTCAGCTCCTGGAGGGGAGGAGGGGAGAGGTGAGGAGAGCTGTGCCTGCCTTCAGCTACAGCCCTGATTAGGGAAGGAAGCCAATCAGAGGGAATTTTCCCCCAGTCCAGACTGAAATTTAGAAAAGATGCATAGATTCCAGGGGCATTGGGGTTATCTAGGGTGAGCTCCTGTACCACACAGGCCAGAGAACTTCCCAAGAATAATTACTACAACGTATCTCTTAGAAAAACATTCACTCTTGTTTGAAAATGGTCAGTGATGGAGAATCTACCAAGACCCTTGGTAAATTGTGCCACTGGTTAATTACTCTCGCTGTCAAAAATGTACGCCTTATTTCCAATCTGAAGTTGTCTAGCTTCAACTTCCGGCCCTTGTATCAAGTTATACCTTTCTCTGCTAGATTGAAGAGCTCATTATTAAATATTTTTTAACCATTTATGTATTTACAGACTGTAATTGTTGCACCTTAATCTTCTCTTTGTTAAGCTAAATAGATTGAGCTCCTTGAGACTATGTCTATAAGGCTTTAATTCAGGATTGGGCAAACTTTTGGGCCCGAGGGCCACATCTC